CTGTCCATGTGTAAAGATAAACGTACCCACATTAAAACACTGTCCATGTGTAAAGATATACGTAGCCACATTAAAACACTGTCCATGTGTAAAGATATAGTAGCCACATTATAACACTGTCCATGTGTAAAGATATAGTAGCCACGTTAAAACACTGTCCATGTGTAAAGATATAGTAGCCACATTAAAACACTGTCCATGTGTAAAGATATACATACCCACATTAAAACACTGTCCATGTTTAAAGATATACATACCCACATTAAAACACTGCCCGTGTGTAAAGATATACGTACCCACATTAAAACACTGTCCATGTGTAAAGATATAGTAGGCACATTAAAACACTGTCCATGTGTAAAGATATAGTAGCGACATTCCAACACTGCCCGTGTGTAAAGATATAGTAGCCACATTATAACACTGTCCGTGTGTAAAGATATAGTAGCCACATTAAAACACTGTCCATGTGTAAAGATATAGTAGCCACATTAAAACACTGCCCGTGTGTAAAGATATAGTAGCCACATTATAACACTGTCCGTGTGTAAAGATATAGTAGCCACATTAAAACACTGTCCATGTGTAAAGATATAGTAGCCACATTAAAACACTGTCCGTGTGTAAAGATATAGTAGCCACATTAAAACACTGTCCATGTGTAAAGATATAGTAGCCACATTAAAACACTGTCCATGTGTAAAGATATAGTAGCCACATTATAACACTGTCCATGTGTAAAGATATAGTAGCCACGTTAAAACACTGTCCATGTGTAAAGATATAGTAGCCACATTAAAACACTGTCCATGTGTAAAGATATACATACCCACATTAAAACACTGCCCGTGTGTAAAGATATACGTACCCACATTAAAACACTGTCCATGTGTAAAGATAAACGTACCCACATTAAAACACTGTCCATGTGTAAAGATATACGTACCCACATTAAAACACTGCCCGTGTGTAAAGATATACGTAGCCACATTAAAACACTGCCCATGTGTAAAGATATAGTAGCCACATTAAAACACTGCCTGTGTGTACAGATATACGTACCCACATTAAAACAATGTCCATGTTTAAAGATATACATACCTACATTAAAACACTGTCCATGTTTAAAGATATACGTACCCACATTAAAACACTGTCCATGTGTAAAGATATACGTAGCCACATTAAAACACTGTCCGTGTGTAAAGATATACGTACCCACATTAAAACACTGCCCGTGTGTAAAGATATACGTACCCACATTAAAACACTGTCCGTGTGTAAAGATATACGTACCCACATTAAAACACTGTTCACATGCATTTCATCGTCATCGTGCCGTGCCGTTATACGCCACTGGAGACTGCAGGTTAGGCCTCGATTCCGTTCTATCCCTTTGATATAATGGATTAGAACCTTTGGCCTCTCTCAACCACGTCCTCATTTCCCCAAAATATTGTTGTTTTCCTCGTCGCACGGGTTCAGAGAACTCATGTGGCCTGATTCTCAGTCAGTACTGCGGACGGTTCAAAATGATCAAATGTAGCGTGAGTGGAGGATACCAGGATCAGCGTGTCGACATTACAGGAACCCACGTAGATATTCTGTCTGTGCCCTGTAGGAGTGCGAGGCAATGAAACAGCAGATTCTGGCTACAAAAGCGACAGCTAAGGTAACACTAACTGGACAAGCGAGTCGTTCTGAAGACCATTAATGAATTAATTCCGATAGAAGACACGAGTTTAGATGAAATAACATGTATAAGAATGTGTGAACGCGAGTTTAGGTATGGATCCGGCAAGCAGGAACGCATGCGAGAAAGAACGAGGTGTGTATAATCAACGTGCACCACCAGCAAGCCAATCTGCTCGTTCCTTCCCTCTTACCCCAGAGTGTCCTGGCACAAAAAGTAAACTGATTCCTATCAGACGAGATTATCTCAGCGATTCCAACCATTTTCTTCTAATTCAATTTGTTTCAATCTTCTTAATCATGCTCATGGATTCACTGAGAAAGCACTGTGTCTTGAGTCACATCACTGCTTTTCTCATCGTTATGCTAGAGAGGCCCCAAAACACAGTATCCCACACACACAAGAAATAATCAAAACCGAGCAACATGATGCTAATCACAACTGAACACGATGTCATATTTACATCAAATGACATGTATTTACATTATTAGCCAACACAGAAGTTGAACAATGTACAGAAGATTGAAAGATCACAATTTAACTTCCCTCACAAACTCTTTATCTTTTGGTACGTTGAGTTGTGGTTAACAACTAGGCTGTGATATCTGCATATTTAGGTTGAACGCATCTGATTTCAACAGACCCATAATAAGTAACCGCGTATGACATGCTTGTTAAGAAACAGAAGCAGTTGGTTCAATATACCCCCACCACCCAAACTAAAGGCGCCCCTAAATACAAACAAGGAACTTAAAACGAATGTTACTGCCACTATAAACAGGTCTAATTTCGTATACTGAGATATTTGTTTAAAGGAGGTGTGTTCTCACAGAAAAAAGAAAACTATTTAACAGAAACGTAAACAAGTTTACGCTGAGCATAATAAAGCACAATCCAGTCATTGAAAAAGGTCCTGCAAGCACCGTGACAGACAAGCCAGATGAAGTATCTATTTTCTGCTTCATGTTTGCTCAAGCAAGAGTTTCCCGGACTTTTGTGCGGCACACTCTTGAACATACTTTCCTTTACCAGCTAATAAACAACATCTTGTCTCGGGAGCTGACATTTTTTGGGTCATATCAAGCGCTATGGTGGATTGGGGGGGGGGGGGGGGGGGGGGGCAACACGCGGAAGGCATTGTACCAGGAAGGAGGGACCGGGGCCGACCAACAGGAAGATAGGTACGGGATACAAGTAACTCTGTGGACATAAAAGTGTGTGACAGAGAGCTGGCAAGAGACCGGGTTTATGTCAGGCAGACTGTGATGAGAGCGACATTCTACAAAGGACCTGCTACATGATGATAACAGTGACACCAGAGCGTGTTGTTGTTACTTGCAGCCCCGAGCTTGTTGGGTAGACAATGGATCTATTCCCCCCCCCCCCCACAATGAGGCCCCAGAACCCTCACTGAGACCGGTGAAGCTGATGCCGTTTGTATTATTTTTGCCTTTTAAGCCAGCGGTTCTCAAACTGGGTGTCTGGCGTATGCCAGCGTTTCTCAAACTGGGTGCCACAGCACCCCTGGGTGTCTGGTGTATGCCAGCGGTTTTCAAACTGGCTGCCACAGCACCCCTGGGTGTCTGGCATGAGCCAGCGGCGCTGCAGCAGCAATCAAGAATTTGTCAACATCTGCTTGAGATCAGCGAAGACAGCAGCGTACAACAGAAATAACATAAAGAAAGCCAAGAAGAATTTTGGATGCAGGTGTATTCAGAAAACAATGCTACTGGCATGGCTGCAGTGCATTCTTAACTCACACTTTCATTTTTTTTTAAATTTACATGAGCACCTTCAAATTCGAGGGAACAATGAACTAAACTTCACATAAACATAAAGGACATAATCAAAAATGCATCCAAGCAGTTTCATTCATTGCATTAAAGACAAGTAAACCATTACACGTAAATTGTATTTGTTTTTTAGAAATGCTTTTCTAAGCTGTTTATTTTTAAGCTTTCCATATACAATACTCTTTTGTCTTTTTGCCTCTGGTGTCTAGTACTTCCTTACATACACAGCTAATTCAAAATTTACTATTTCAATCATGAGTATTGTTAAATAATTAAAGAAAAGTGCATACATTTACCCCCCCCCCCCTTCCCCCAAGGACCCTGCAAACCTCATAGAGAAGACTAATATAAACAAACTGAAATCAAGGAATTAATACTTCTTTTTCTTTGTGTTCACCAGATGTAAACTGCGGCGGAAAGTTCTGGATTTTTGTCCACCTCCGGTCTTGTTTAAGAACCTTTAGTGAACATCAGTTTCACAGATCTGGCTGATTTGTATGCAGATTCTGGTTCCTTGCCTCTCAGTCGGATGTACCCCAACTTCGAAGGACGTCCTCAATTAGTAGACTCCTACGACATGCTTGTTGGGGAGGCAGTGGGTTATTCTTGTCCCCCCCCCCCCACCCACGATAGGGCCCCAGAACGCACATGATGATAGGAATAAATACAGGATACCTTTCACTTATACAAATAGACGAAGACTTAAAGTGGTTACCACTAGCATTTATTACTGCCAGAAACTACTGCTTGAACAAAGCTGGTCCTAGTAGGATTGCTGTGCATGTTGTTTCATGTTTGGATGTCAGTCACAGGCCCCTGTCAGTGTTGATGTAACATGTGATCAACATTTTGTTGTTGAAATCATCCAATTACATTTTGAAAAGGGTTGGGGTGAAAATAATGCAAACTTACAAGAAACCAAACAGAATGCAAACTTATAAGAAACCAAACAAATGAGAACAAATGTTCCGCAGTTCAAATTTGACACCCCACATTGTGCCAACGGTTTCTGGTGGAGAAGCACTTTTGGGAGTATTCCAGTCTTGTCCCAGGAAGAGGAAATACAGCTCCCTGTGTGGGTATCAGGGCCACATTGGGGAAGGGGGTGGGGGGGGGGGAAGAACTAGAGTGGACCCACTGCCTCCCCAAAAAGCATGTCATGTCATAAAAGTCTACTAATTGGGGGCTTTCTTTGAAGTCAAACTGCATCTGTCTGAGAGGCAAGGAACCAACACCCTGCATACAGATAAGTTATTAGATCTGTTAAATTTGCACATAACACTCAGGTTCTGGAACAAGACTGAAGTTCGGAGGTAGATGAACAAACAGAACTTTCCATCAGATGTTAGAAACGTTGAACATCAAGAAGATGATGATGAAATACAACCTGAAAACTTAATGCCATGGCAAGGCTAAAATTCAAAATACTGCTACTCATTTCAAAACATCAAGTGTTTATCTTTATCTGTGAGTGAGCACAATCAGCTACATACAAAACAGAATCATGTACTCACCTTTAATTTTTTCAAATATCCAGCCAGCTTGATATCAGATCCCGGACGCTCGAATGTATGGCGACTCCCTGTACTGCTAATACTTTGCTGATCAAATTCCATGTTTAATGATGACACTTTGAAACTCATTGCAATATATACTCTATCTACATCAGCAAGTTTCACGGGGACTCTCAGGTCATGTTCATACGCACACTGGTGCTCAGTTTACCATACAGCCACTGCAAATTAAATCCGGATGCATGTCTGATAAACAATAGATATTTCTGTTGAGGTTCTATCGCGATCACTCGAAGGGTCAATATCATTGAAGCAGAACATCAATATTCAGTGTCAGATTATCTCTCGAATTCTAAACTTATAGATAAAGAATCAGTGTTTATGACACAAATATAAAGAAAAAGAAAAACTGGCAATCATTATATATTATTGTACCACTTTTGCTGTGTGTGTGTGTGTGCGTGTGGAGGGTTATCTTTGAGCCTGAAAGTTTAGGGCTACATGGCTAGAGCTTTGGCCATGGAACTTTGCAGGCCATGATTTTATTTTTCACCCGGTAGAAAAATCCCCAACTGTATTAAGGATTCGAACCTGGGTCTCCTGCGTGAGAGCCCATCATTCTAACCCCTCGGCAAGCACAAGGGGATAATTAACAAGTACAACCAGCAGACAACAAATCAGCAAGTTTCCCAAGCACCCATGGGTTAGCAAGAAATTGCACTAGCTGTTATATTACTGTGACTATTCATCTCAATAAAAATAAAACAACAAATATCAGCAAACAGAAATTAACACAAACTTCATTTACCAAGCTCACAATGTGAAGAAGACTAAAAGAGTAAAGCACAGGAAATTATCCCTTGCCTGGAGCAGGAATCTTAGAATGAAAGCAATTAACCCAGAATTGACAATGCTGAAAAATTTCTAGGTTAATTTCTGAGAACAGGATTACTGAAAGCAAACCAAGTTATCTCACTTCAGATAATAATCAGGTATGAAATGAAAGTATTTAGGACAAAAATGTGACTGGCAAAAATGTTCAGATAAAACTAACTAAAAACTTCTGCACTCGGGCTGGGCATGACCTAGATTCAGTCCTACATATTAGACTAACTCTCTTAGAAGGATTGCACACAGGACTAAATATTCTTCTTCTTCTTCTTTCGTTCCCATGAAATAAATTGTCTATATCTGCAAAGCCGTCTCTTGTATGAATTTCACTGTCTTTTGTAATTCACTAAGCGGCCCGTAAAGTTTGACTTCCACAAGTGTCTCTTTTGGCCAAATGTTTTGCCTGAAAGCGTTGAATATGGGACAGTCTTGAAGGATGTGATCTGTTGTTTCAGGTGCCAGTCCACAAGTACACATGGCCGATTGGCCAATCTTAAATTTGTTGTACATGTGGGAGCGAAGTCTATTGTGCCCTGTTCTAAGGCGAAGGATAATAACTTGCTCTGGTCTGTCCATAATATGGTAATCATCTTGTGCCAGTTTCGGTGGCATTCTGATTGATTTGATCATTCTCTTTTTCTGTTGATAAGAGACTGGTATGTCAGGTTGTTCTTCAGTTGCACCTTCCTTAGCTAGTTTATCAGCTTTTTCGTTTCCGGGAACTCCACAGTGGGAAGGTATCCACTGCATTACTAATTTACAGCGGCTGCCTAGTTCGGATAATAGTGTCCGTATGCTTGGTAATTTTCCAGACTGGAGTGACTGAAGTACTGCTTTTGCATCTGTCAGGAATACCACTGGTTGTGAAAAATACCCTGTATTTAGTAGTTTCTCTACCGCTATCTTGATGGCTTGAACTTCTGCATCATAGTTGTGACAGTGCTTTCCCGTTGGTAATTTGGTTGTATCCCTGGTATTATTAGGATACTCAAGGTACACTCCCGCACCTCCGTTTCTGACTGTGCTTTCTGCTGACCCATCTGTGTAAACACGGACCCAAAGGTTCTGCGGGTATTCATCATCAAGTAAACTGAGGGTGGCTGTTTTGCGCTGCACGCTGTTTTGCGCTGCACACTATTTTGTTCTTCCTTGTCAAATACCCCTATCACTTCAGTCTTGGTGTGTATTGGAAACTTATACTCCTCTCTCCAGGGGGTCCGTTCTGGGACAGCATTTAAGGATCTATCAGTTGCAGGTAAATCAGTGGTTTGTCTGCCGAGCCGTTTGGCCTGGTGGATAAAACTACTTCTCTTTAGTCGTCCCAGAGCTAAATTTTTGAATCTTTCATTCATAGGGTGACTGGGCATACTAAGAAACTTTTCTGCTTGTAAAAGCATCTTGGTGTCTCTGCGTTCACTTAGTGCTTGGGTCATCCCCATTTTCTCCATCACAGCTATAGGTGTTGATTTCATACTGCCTGTGGTAACTCTGAGTGCTTGATTTTGCACTTTGTCTAATTCTTGCAATGTGGTTTTTGATGCCGAACTCCATGCTGTTGATCCGTATTCAAGATGTGGTCGAACACTTTGTTGGTAAACTTTTCTAAGTATTTTCCCGCTAGCACCCCATGTGGTTCCACTTAGTTTTCTCAGAATGGCTACCCTCCTTCTGGCTTTGGTTGCTGCCTTGTTGATGTGTTTTCTCCATGTTAATCTATCATCAAACGTTACGCCGAGGTATGTGGGCTCCTTATCCTCTCTCAGGGGTACTCCATTTATGTGCATGGCGCCTGATTTTTGTTTAGGAGAAAGGGTAAAGAGAGTGGTGCTGCATTTGCCTATGTTGATGCTGACACACCATTTGTCGGCCCATTTAGCCATTGCATCTATGGCTCTTTGTAGCAGTCTGGTGGCCACTGTCGCATTTTCATTTGTACACCAGAGTACCAAGTCATCAGCATACATTGCAGCTTTAATTCCATGGGGTAGTTCAGAAAGCATGTCGTTGATATAGACTAGGAAGAGTGTGAGGGACAGGACACCTCCTTGTGGAACGCCATGGCGCAGCAAAACTTTCTTGCTCTTGTCCATCTATCTGTACTCGGGATCTTCTGTTATACAAGTATGCTTTGACCCATTTGTACATACTCCCATTCACCCTGCAGTCTCTCAGTTTCTTCAGTAGACCTTCTTTCCAGACCTTGTCAAAGGCTTTCTTCAGATCTATCCATGCCGTTAGCACTAGCTTCTTTTCCTGGAAGGCATCCTCAATTTCTTGTGAAAGGTAAGTTGTTTGGTCTTCTGTGGAGTAGCACTGTCTAAATCCTGCCTGCTGCGGCGTGAAAATGTTGGTGGGTCGGTTGGCTTATTAACGAGGATGAACCTATTCTCATCCTGCCAGTCCTCTAGTTTCTCTCCTCTCTGGTCCATATGATCGTAGCCCCAACTTTGGGAATGGCTGTTAAAATCCCCACAAATGATCATTTTTTCATTTATTAGTACTGTATCCAGTGCCTGAGGGCGGTCGCTCGGACAGTAATAGTTGGTCAGATGTAAATCTGTATTTTCTAACTTGAGCTCAAGAGTTTGATACTCAGCACCTTCCATGTATGTTTCAATCCGGCCCGCAAGGATGTTATTTTTGACCAGGGTAAGAATTCCACCTTTTCTCCTGTCTTTGCGGTCAGATCGGAAACACTGGTAGCCTCTGATCTTAAAGGCCATATCTTGTTTGAGATACGTCTCTTGTAGGCAGCATACATGTATCTTCTCTTCGTTCAAGACGTTTTCTAATTCTAATTTCTTGGTATGTACTCCCTCCGCGTTCCAGTGCATTATTTTAAAGCTAGCTGTATTTTCTGCTTTTCTGGTTCTACGGGGCATGAGGGGGAGGCTTCGAGTATTTGAAGCTGGACTCTTTCTTCTTGTCGTAGGCCGGTAAATCGAACCACGTGTACGTGAGTGGGTCTCATGGTGGAAATCAAACTTATTAGCAGATATAGAAATATTCCCTGTTGCGTTTGTGCGTGGCATCCTGATTGCTGTGGTGCGCCTCCTGGCTGGTTGCCTCCGACTTCAGCACCTTGTTATGCTAGAGTAGACTGGGGTCTTACCCGTGGACTCCCATGTTTATAATGGGAGCGTGGCTCCTACGCGGTTACATTATCAGAATTAGGACACGGCCGCCGCCGTGGCTTTTTTGTGGAAATAATTCCGTTATAACACCCCTAAACCACATAATGCTTGTATCCACGAACAAGAAAATATCCATCGCCAATGAATTAGTAATAATCGCACTCTGTTATCAAGAGAAAAACACAGATTAAGTGAAAATTTTTCGACTAAATATTAATAGACATTGATTTATAAGGTGTCTGCTGCATACCCCTAGCAATAGTACAAAGGTTTTCACGCTGAATTAGTGTCAGGTTTTTTACGTTTTAGAATAAATATTATTATTATATTCATCACTATCAAGTGCTTTATTGAGCAATTATGTCTGTGCACAACCTGCGACCAATAGTATTAATTAACTCATGAGTTCACGCCCCATCTCTGAGACCTCAAGAAACTCTGTGGCTTGTTGACTAATTGTCCAGAGCCTAATGTTAAAACTGGTTCTACACGGCATGACAGAATTCTTTTTCTAACCTCATACGATAAGGGTCTATTACATAGGAAGTTTGGCATCTTAGAAAATGTAGTGTTTGCCTTCACAATTTGATTTTTATTTATGTGATTCATCCTCCATCTCATGTTATCCATGTGGCCTGATGCTTACTCTTTTATACATGTCCCTGAATAAATATATAATACTTTCCTAAACTTACAAGACTGTCTATAAAAAAACACACGTTTGACTTAATAAGAATGAACACAATAGAAGTTAATTTTTTAATCAAGAAAAATTTACAACCAGACATTCCTAATTAGAATCGAAATACCAGACTTAATTAGAATCAAAGTACTTACCAACTTACTTAATCTGAATTACTGTACCGGATCACTTAATTAGAATGAAAGTAATTACTAATTTACTTAATGAGAATCAACATATCAAACTTTTAAAAATTAGGATCAACTTATTACTATCAGACTTTTAGAATGGGCATTAATAAATCTGACCTTTGGAAAGGGAGGAATAAATCGAGACTTTTGGGACTGGGATTAATAAATCAGGCTTTTGGAACTGGGATTATTAAATCAAGACTTTTAGTAATGTGATTAATAAATCAGGCT